AATTTGTGTAAATAATCAGCACAAAAAAATAAATAAATATATAATAAATATTTCGTGCACATGGAAATTTGGTGTAACGTGATACCCCTGATTGAATTTTCAACACTGCCCCCAGCCCACAAATTTAATCATCAGTGATGATTAAATTTGTGGGCTGGGGGTGGCAGGAATTACACAGTGTTTACCAACTCTAAGAATTAATCCTTTTTTGTCACATAGGTTCTGTATATTTCATAAAAGAACCTTTCTGTATATTAGTGGTTATATCCGTCGGATAGTATCTGTAAATATCCGTGAATATCCGCAACTATCCTGATATCAATTTTATCTCACGGTTGATCGACAGATATTCAACGGATATTGAGAAAAATGTTTGTGAATATCCGTGAATATCCGTGATACAAAAAATTTAAAATAAAATATCCGTGGCGTCATTCCTTTAAAAAAAATTTAACAATAGTATTAGTGGTGGTATTAATAACGAATAATAATATTATAGTAATAGTAATAGTAATAGTGGATGGTGTTAATGATAAATAATAATAATAGTGGTGATATTAATAATATTAGTAGCATTAATAATAATAGTGGTAGCATTAATAATAATAAGTAATAATAATAGTGGTGGTATTAATAATAGTAGTAGCATTAATAATAATAGTGGTAACATTAATAATAATAAATAATAATAATAGTGGTAGCATTAATAATAATAAATAATAATAATAGTGGTGGTATTAATAATAGTAGTAGCATTAATAATAATAGTGGTAGCATTAATAATAAATAGTGAATAATAAATAATAATATAATAATAATTATTAAAAAATGACAGAGTAATAATAATAATATTATTATTGAATTAGAGGAAAATCAAGATGAGAACTCTCATGTCAATAACAACCAATTAATTAATATCAACCCACAAAAAAATAATTCAAATAAACGTATAAATATTATTACTGTTAATTCAAATAAAAAAAAAAATTTAATTCAAAAAAAACTAGTTGGGTTTGGGAATTAATGGAAAGTACTGAAATTGAAGAAGAAGGATCAATAATCAAGGCAGCAATTTGTAAAATAAATGTTTCAAAGACTTCTGAAATTAAATATTGTAATATAATTGTTCAAATGTTTTATTTATTAAACGGAATCTAGGCTTTCTATTATAATTAGTACTGTTTATGTTTATTTTGTGAACCCAATGCCGATCATTTCTTAAAATTGAATGCCTGCTACGTTATGAATTCCACAAAAAAAAATCCCGGGCTTGTTACTGTTCAAATCGAATGTAATTAAATAAGGAAAGTATGAAAAATGTTACATATCTTATATTAATATCTGGATTCATAATATCCAGTGTCCGTATAGCGTAGCAAAACAATGTTTTGTGACCCTTGCGTCCGCTGTTTAGAACAAGTTTTGTGGATACTCTCATTGACGTGATCCTGCAAGGAACTGCTTCTTTGTAGCCTACTCCAGGGGCTTGTTTCTAGTATATTCAGTATAATGTTTCCTACGTCTGTATGCGCTTAACCACATATTTAATATGCTTGGTGACTCCTACAGCCAATGCTTGGTGAGAAGACATGGATACTCTTTTATTGATATAATCCTTTATGGGGATTGTTTCTTTATAGCCTACTCCTAAGCTTCTTCACCAGAAAACGTTATTCTTAGCCAGATTTTTTCATTCCTCTTTCATATCTGGTGTTAACTTTTTTTTAAATAGGATGGATTTTGACTATTTGTTCTAAACATTTAGAAGAAACAGATTACACTAGCTGGAGTTTGATAAATATAATGCGTTATGTTGCGGATTGATCAATTTAACTGATGAATGTTTTGAAGAATTTATAGATTCATTGAGATCTGCTTTATACAAAAAAAATTCAACAAAAGAACCACCTTAAATCTGCAAAGAATAAGGTTCAAAAAATTTTTAAAAATCTTAATCCATCAATCAGAAATCAGAATGAAATAAAAAATTTTTTGCTGAAGAACTAAAATTTGGACAAGCGAGTAGCATAAGTTTGTTTATAATGATGCAAACAAATACTAACAAACATATATTATCATATATTTTATATGATACAAATGTTGGATTAAGTGTCATGGAAGATAAAACTATTAAAGTACAGATAAGTAATTCTGAGTATAGAGATGTGAGTATTATGGTTCTTAGCATACTGCATCTGGGCTCTTTAGATATAATCTGTTTTAATATGGTCATCATATATTTAGTTCATAACTCAAAAATTAGAATCAGACAAAAATAATGGGTTGAATGATTATACACCTTGTCCAACAATGAATGTTTATGATTTGGAGGGAAATGTGGCAGAGTCAGAAAAAGATTTTTGCGATACTAGTACTAATGTTGAAAATACATCAGAAAGAAAAAGAAAACAAGAAAGCAGTGTAATATTTGATAATGAAATGCAAGAAAGTGCTGAATTTTTACTTAATCTTAATGGATCTAATGAAGAATCTATCATTGAAAATGTTGATGAAGCTTTATTATCAGATGAAGTTCCATTACCATCAAAAAACACTGATGATAGAATTTCTGAGGTAAAGATTGATATAAATGTTTAATGAATGCATGTTTAAATAAACTCATTGTTTTATTAATAATAGGGGATCATTGATCCAAATATTATTGAATTATTTTGTAAATACCAAAAACAAATACCAAATGCACATAAAGTGCTGACATAAGTCTAGTGTTATTGTCTTAAAGCATGATCCTTTCATACTCATTAATATATTCATTCGCTAATTTTTAGTCCTACATACTGGGGAATATTGAATTTAACTAAAGAGAGTATCAAGGACTTTAAAATAAAGGATAAAGAAATCCAAAAATTATCCCTAGATTTTTCTAATAAAATCTAATGGAATAACGATGTCTCCACTCCAAGTTACATCCAAAAATATTTCAATAACAATTGTGAAAATGCTGACAAAAATGATTCTGTTAAAAATTTGGACATTAATATCCAGTTTATGTAAGCATAATGGACACTCATTTTGTGCAACAGTGATTTGTATAATGGGCAGACTGTTACACAGACCCAGTTGCTTCTGAAACTTCACTAGAATATAGCTGTAACCTCTCTAAGTCCAGATCATCAGCAAGATCAAAATTATCTCACACTTTTATAATCAAACTTTTGCAAGAACTTTCACCATAACATATGTTATGTTGATCATTTTTTTGTGATCTGCAACAGTGTCCACTATGCTGTTCTGGTACTCATGGATTTTTTTTGTCGATCATTCATATAATAATTCCCCCCATTTTTTATTATAGAAATGTTGATCCTTTCACTGTTTCATAGGCGGATCACCAATTAATTACTATATAAAACTTTGTTACTTATAGGAAACCATCTACAAACATTTTTTGCAATTACATATAATGTGGTTACACTAACCATACTAATTTGAATAATTCTAGTGTACCCATTTATCACAATTATTGTCTACAAAGGTGTCAATCTAAATATTTGATATCTTGGACTATCTTCAAGTCAAAATCAAAAAAAATGTCAACACATTAAAAGAAAGTATGATGAAAAATATTAAATGAAAATGAATTTATCAAAAATAACAAAATACAGTTGATGATGATCTGGGCAATGTTGAATCAGCAACAGATGACAGCAACAATGGAAATTTTATTAGAACATGCAAAAAAAATTTTTGGGTTGTAAATTTTGTTTTTATTAAATAAATTTGTTTGATTTTCATACATTGCTCATTTTTAGTCACAATCATGTATCTTAAATTTGTTGTGTTTACAACCATTTCATTGACATTCATTATATTAAGGTTATTTTGATTATATTGAGAGATACAGTCAAGAGAAGAAGTTAGGAAGAGAGTTATTCTTCAACCAAGTCAAAAACCAACCCTTTAAATCCATTTTCAAGTAGTACACTTTAATTTATTAGACTATTTCAATGGTTTGTCACATGGTTGCTTCCAACTTCTTAAATTCATTAAATGAAACAATTGTTGGTGAAGTGATTGTTGACAAAATGAATCAAACTCATTCATTTCTACATTTATCAAATTTGCGATTTTAATTGGTCAATCAACAAATGGCATGGGTTAAAATTTTGTGTTCCCAGAATGGTCTCTCCTGTTAGTGCAGGCAAGCATAGTGGACACTAAAGATGTTGCCCAAATCCCAAATTATTTGGGATTATAGCATCTCAAATGCACAAATTAAATTTGGGGCAGAGGATTTGAAATTTTGTGCATCCCAAATTATTTATAGCATCCCAAATTATTTATGACATCCCAAATTATTTGTGGATCCCAAACTACTTATGACATTGGGGTGTGCGACATTCTAAGAAAATCAAAACTAATTAATGTCATATATTGATTGGTTATATGTGATTTTTTTTCGTGATCTACAGAATTTCCGAATTTATGTAAAGAACATTGTTTTCAAAACACTACTCCTCCTCCATTTTCAAAGATATAGGCATTAAATTTCCATGAAAGGCAGTATATACATTATACTTTAGAGCTATGGAAAGATTTAATGGATTAAAAATACCAGTGGCGTAAAAAGCTGATTCAAAATACAGAAAATTTCTTTCTTTATCGCAATACTTCTATCTAGTGGTTATATCCGTCGGATAGTATCCGTGAATATCCGTGAATATCTGCGACTATCCAGATATCAATTTTATCTCACGGATATTCAACGGATATTGAGAGAAATGTTTGTGAATATCCGTAAATATCCATGATACAAAAAATTTAAAAATAAAAATATTCATGACGTCATTCCTTTAAAAAAAATTTAACAATAGTATTAGTGGTGGTATTAATAACGAATAATAATATTATAGTAATAGTAATAGTAATAGTGGATGGTGTTAATGATAAATAATAATAATAGTGGTGATATTAATAATATTAGTAGCATTAATAATAATAGTGGTAGCATTAATAATAATAAGTAATAATAATAGTGGTGGTATTAATAATAGTAGTAGCATTAATAATAATAGTGGTAACATTAATAATAATAAATAATAATAATAGTGGTAGCATTAATAATAATAAATAATAATAATAGTGGTGGTATTAATAATAGTAGTAGCATTAATAATAATAGTGGTAGCATTAATAATAAATAGTGAATAATAAATAATAATATAATAATAATTATTAAAAAATGACAGAGTAATAATAATAATATTATTATTGAATTAGAGGAAAATCAAGATGAGAACTCTCATGTCAATAACAACCAATTAATTAATATCAACCCACAAAAAAATAATTCAAATAAACGTATAAATATTATTACTGTTAATTCAAATAAAAAAAAAAATTTAATTCAAAAAAAACTAGTTGGGTTTGGGAATTAATGGAAAGTACTGAAATTGAAGAAGAAGGATCAATAATCAAGGCAGCAATTTGTAAAATAAATGTTTCAAAGACTTCTGAAATTAAATATTGTAATATAATTGTTCATGGTGGTAGTGATTCATCAACTTCAAATTTTATAAATCATTTAACATCAGTTCATGGACTTACTAAGGATAATTATGAAACCAAATTAAATTCTAAGGTAATTATTTATTTATATTAATTTAAATATTTTTATTTTTATTTAAATTCTTGTATTTTTTGTCTTATTATTATTAGGAAATTCCAAAAAACCAATCGATTGATCATATATTTAAAAAAGTTCAACATCATCCAAACCATTAAAAAAAGTTGGATAGGGCTTTGGCACTCTTTATAATTGAAGACTTACAACCTTTGCACATTTTAAAATCACCTGCATTTATTAAATTTTTAAATTTATTAGACTCATCATTTATAGTTCCTAAATCAAATACAATCAAATCCTTAATACATACTGCATACACCAAATCTTTTAATTACTTGGTTGAACAATTATCATCAATTGAATATGTTGGTTTAACATGTGATTTATGGACAGCTAGGAGTAGACTTGGTTATTTGGGGGTTACCTGTTCTTATATAGATGAAGGATTTGACCTCCATGAAAATTTGTTAACTTTAATGTATCTTCCATCTACTCATACCTCTCCTTTGATTGCACAAGCACTAAATGATATAATTATTAGTTGGAGAATTGATAAAAAGGTTATGTCTATCACCACAGACAATGGGCCTAATATGGTTGCAGCATTTAAAGTAAGTTATTTAATGACTTAAATTTAATAAAAAAAATTTCTTCTGAATTAGAACTCATAATTTATTTAATTATTAACAATGACTACTTGAATTTAAATTAGCATATGTATAATATTAATAGAACTTCATGTAGTGCACATACTCTTCAATTGGTTATTGGAAAATTCCTTGTGGTTTGTGATGTATTTTTAGCAAGAGCAAAAAAGGCTTATAAATTTTTTCCTTAGTCCAAAACAAACTGAACTCCTGGAGAATGCACAAAAGGAAGTTGCTGCTAATGATGATGATGATGATGTAAATATAATTTTACTAATTTAATACAGTGAACCCTCCCTAAGTGCACCCTCCCTAAATGCATGCACTATGTATACCCTCCATAAATGCACAGCCCATC